ATGAATATACTTCGATGGGAGGACAGTTGCCAGCTATTCTTACTGACTCATGTGAGGCAACATATTACAACAGAAAAAACACATGGATGATTAGATAGATGTGCAAATGGTAGACAAATCACTACTAGTTGCTCTGATATATTTGCTAATTCTCTCCCACTTGCTGAACAGTTGATCACAAGAAACAGTAGATCACAAGAAAGTCTCTTAGGACACTTATGTGGTCTGTTTCACTAGAGCATTCTATTTGGCTTCTTGTCTACTCTTTTTCACTATTGAGGCTATCTGGTACACAGCTCATTTCTCATCTTTTTCTTCTTGTTTAGGTCATTTTTCATGGATTTTCCCCACCATTTTACCCAGTCAGTTGGGTATATAGCCCCACATACTCCCCATATACTAATTGTCCCACTCTTAACTCATCTACATCCCATCCTTCCACAAACTCCTTTCCTTGCTAACATCTTGTTAAGTTCTGCCCGTAGGTGGTGCTAGAGAGAATGGACTCAGAAGATGAGAAAAGGCACTGGAGGCTTTCCTTGCAGTGTTGCTGTGGTGGAGGCAAGACATTAACCCCAGTCTCTCTTTTTTTTTTTTTTTTTTTTTTAACACTTCCAGAGCTGCCTTTGTCTCTTCAGAGCCATCAGCTATGGCTATGCCCCTTTCTGAGAGATCTGAGCACCATAGCAATGGATTGGAACTGCATCTTTTTTTTGTTTTGCTTTTTTTTTTTTTTTTTAATGAAGTGCCACTATTTTATAGCGATGCTAATATTTTGACAGTATAGGACTTCCCCCCTTAGGTGTGGCCACCATAGCTCTCCCACGGAAGCACCTAATGTCCTCCACCACAGCCCTTTATGCTTTTGAAATTACATCAGCCCGCGGTTACTAGCTGCTTCCTCAGCGTTCCTTTGGATTTTTCACTTTTCCAACTCCTGATTGATTAATTTCTGATTAAAAGTCATCTCTTCAAAATTCCTAGTGTGGTTTCTGTTTTCATGACTGGAATCTGACTGAGTAAACAAATTAAAAGTATACTCTTCCCTGAGATCTTGTGGTATCTTATTCCTTTAGAAGATACCTCATTCAGCACTTCACAAGATTTTATATATTAAGAAAATTCTTTTTTTATAATAATCATTTTATTTTTTGTGAACATTTTTTCTTTCTTTTCTTTTTTTACATCGTTGTTCATTTTTAAACAGTATTTCCTTTCCCCCAACCCCCTCAGGTGTAGTCCCCATGGATCTACCCAAAGGACACAAAAACATTGATTCAAAAGAACACCTGCACCCTTATGTTTATTGCAGCACTATTTACAATAGGTAGCACTATTTACAAATGCCCCAAAATAGATGACTGAATCAAGAAGATGTGGTGTATATACACAATGGAATATTATTCAGCAATCGAAAAGATATTTTAAGAAAATTCTTAAGATGGAAACTTCCTGTGGGTTTCATTGCATTTTATAAAATTATTAATGCCTGCCATCTGTACACCACACTTTGCCATAGAGTGAACATATTAACTGCTTTTGAAGGGCAGGGTACAAATGGAAGGTAGATCTTTTATTTCTCTGAAGTGAATTTTCAGTTCCATTTAATGTCCAAACTACACCCACAAACAAAATCACATACTGTTAAGCAGTATGTGATAAAGGTATATGTTCAGTCGGACAACACCACACTGACAAACGGGAGTCGTGGAGCAGGCTACATAATGCAGGATGCTGCTGAAGAGCAAGATCCTGGCCCTTTTATTGACACATGTAATTGGTTGTAAGGAGATTAAAGAAAGGGGAGGGGTATAGAAGATTAGGGATTGTGAGTCTGCCCTCCAGGAACTTCTAATCTACTTGATGATATACCCTAATCCCCAGCCATGGTTCTAATCTTATTAACAAGGCGCTCCACTGATCAGCTTCTGGGGTCCCTTGTCATACATCCGTCCTTGGCCCCCTGGGCATTCCCGGCCATACCTCGCAATGTATAAGTTGGGAGTATGTGTTATGCATTGTTCCTCAGCCCCCTGGGCGTTCCGGACATACCTCCTGATGCACATGTTATGCATCGGTCCTCAGCCCCCCAGGAGTTCTGGACATACCTTGTGATGCATAACCTTCCCAGTGTGATCCAGCTTTGTGCTCTTGTTTGATTTGAAGGGCTGAAGGGTTGGGCTCCTGTTCCTAACTGGCGGGGCCATTTTGACCGTGGTTAGGTGACAAAATGGTGGCCAAATAGGCTGCCTAGGAGTAGCAGACCCACAGGTATATTATTAAAACTGCCTCAGTTTACCTTCTAAATCATGGCAGAATATAAGAAAATAGACAATGAGTAATATATACACCCATGCATGTGTACATGTGTCATAGATAAATTCTTGGCTCTATCATTTCTTCTGATAGATAAAGATATATATCTCCCTTAAGTGCAGGTGAATTATATCATCAGGAGCCCAATATACGTATGTATATACACATACACACATACACATACACACATATACATTTTCTATGAACATATGAATTTTACAGACATAAACATACACATTCATACATATATGTGAAAAAAACCCAAGTTTATAACATTAACAATAAAATGAGTGTTTCCATTTCCTACTACTCTATTTTCTGGTGTGTCTGGGGAATAGGACTCAAAGTTATCAGCATTTTACACAAGAGGTTTACAAATCAGGTTCAAAAGTCAGTGATTTGCCTAGTTACCCAGCTGGCAACTGGCTCATCAGCCTGTTTGACTTTCTCCTTCACTGTTGCTACCTTTTCTGTGAAGCCTAACCTTCTCCCTGCCCCAACTCACACATACACACACTTTTCAGGTCTTCTGAGGTATTTAGCATCTTGAAAGAATTCGACTGCCCCTGACAGCCTGGAATGAAAAGTTCAGCCTCTGGCTTAGTAACTTCGGACTCTGATGATGAGTCTTTCTCTCTCTTCTTCAACTTTTCCCTCCCCTGAAGAGGAAAGTTATTTTCAACCCTCCATCTGTTTTGTGTTTAACGTGCAGAAAGGTTGCACATTTTCAGAGACCTTGTTCATAAGCAGTAGATTGTACAACAGTTTATTACACAAGTAGAGGTTTTTATTGCTGGTCTTTGTTGAGTTGCCAACTGGAAGAAAGAACATAACGTGCTTAGTGGTCCCTATCAGGAAAAATGAGAAAGCATTAAATACCATTCAAATTGTCAAGCATCGAAAAGTGGCTAGTCAAATCCAGAATTCCCTAGAGCATAGCTGGTGAGAAGGATTTTTCACATTTAATAGTGTTTTCACATCCATATTTTTTTTTTCAAGTCACTTATGTCACAGGCAGTATCTCCAAACATTTTGTGAAATGTGTAACATAAGTGGAGTAAGTTTTTCACCTAGGAAGTTACTTATGCCTACTTCAAAGTCTGACCCTGGTCAATGCAAAGCATTGAGTGGAAATCCTGGCAAGAGTTGTACATATATTTTTAAAATCACACTGCAACTCTGGACAAATCAGCTATGTAGATTTGTGCTCAGGATTCACTTAGCCCCTTTATTTACCTTTAACCATATACTCTGTGTTCCTAGGACTGGATGAGTCAAAATATGTATTTTACCAATGGCTTGCCTCCAGCCATGTGACAGAGAGAATTTCCACAAAGCATCTTAGGAAATATTGTGTCAGAACAATCACAATTGTAACAGACCAGACCAATGTGGAAGATAATTGGGTTATTCTTGCTCCTCGATTTCTAAATTCGCAAAAGCTCAGACCACCTTAGAGGATGCTGGATAAAAGTTGGTGGAGACCTCAGCAATACTCTAGCCTCTGAGTTCTTAACCCAGGCAGCACATTAGAATCATGTGGGGATCCTACCACAGATTAAGGGTGAGTTAGGACATTGGTTTGCTTTTAGAGTTCTCCAGGTGATTCTAAATATAGTTTGGGCCAGGGATCACAGATCTAATCTAGCTACCTAATATCACTGGTGAGGAGATTTAGTCTGGAGAAGTTACTGTCCAAAACTGTTGATTCACGGTACATTGATAGTTTCTTTTCCAACAAAGCATTTTCTCACTATTAAGATACTTAGCTTCGTGTTCCAAGCTTCACAACCCTATCTTTATAAAAGTGAAACATTCAAACCTACCCCAGTCCTCTCTTTCTTTGTAGGCAAATAGATGTGCAGTAACTTGTATTAGCAGTGACAGCTCAAATATCATTCAGGACCTCAGAGGAGAATGTGGGGCCATGAAATCAGGGTGGCATTGTCAGGACCACACTTCTTTCTCTGGATGGTGATTGGAAAAGGGAGTCAGGAGGTTGTCTTTAAATCTGAAGGAGATACAAGCTCCTTTTTTATTATTAGTCCATTATTAGAAACCTTTTCTTTTAAAACAGAACAGCCTAGCTGATACCTGAGTCCTGGCATCAGTGTTCACAGGTCCCTCAACCCTCCCAAAAATGTGCCATCACCACCTCTAGATGAGCCCCACCAAAATGTGGTCCACACTTTCATTGAAGAAGCCTTTTTCTGGCTGAGAATCTTAAACCTTTCTCCATGTTCTTTTTGCCCTCTTGTAAGTCTGATAAACAGTGTACTCAATCTGATAGACAGCTAATACTCAGGGGGATATCGGTCGGTAGCCTTGGACTTCTCAGCTTAATCACCCCAGCTTTAATGCCACTTAAATCAGAATGTAAGCACTGAAAGAATTTCAGGAATCTGATGATATAAATTGTATTTTTAGAGCCGTGAATGACTTGAGAGAGTGAAACAGCGCAGTGACTAAAGATAGTTCTCCTTAGTTTTCCCATGATTTATCACAGGCAAGTTCACAGCAGGTTAAAATAATTGAATGCTATGATAGCATACATGTTGGCATGGGTTTATGAGCGGTCATTCATAACATATTTGTCACAAAGCATAATTTCCGTGGTAGAACACTGATCCGTGTGCAATTTTTTTTTTTTTTTTCCAGTGACGACACAGTTGAAATAACTCCTTCATGGAGGCTGGTTACATTTTCACAATGCCCGGCCCCAAGCTAGAACTTCGGGAAAAAGGATCAAGGAAATGCCTAGTTCGCCAAATAAAATGTAAGTATATTCTGACAAAACTGTCACTTGTGTCAGAGGATAAAAAGAAATGCTTTTTATGGGGAAGGTAGTGACTTTGGGGCTTTGCCTTGCAGACTCAACCTATCTGTTTTTCTTCCATTGTTTATTTTCTACTTTGTTCCTGGTATATTTTCTCCTTTACTTAGTAGCTGTGTCCCTTGAACAAGTGATTTTAATCAAAAGCTGCAATGCAGGGATAATAAAAAATGACTCATAAGGTCACTGTAACAGACTGGAGATAATGAGTGTGTGTGGTAGGTACATGTGGGCCCATGTTTGCATATGTAAGGAATGCAGTTTTCCTTATTTTTCTATAAATCTATGTAATTTCTACTTTCAGTCTTGATTTGGCTTACTTATGGAGATAAAAACTCAGTCAAATCAGGAGTTCATCTAGCCCGAGGGAGGACACAGGACCCATCTGATAGCCCATCTTCAGTTCTATCTGGTTGTGCCCTCAGTGCTCCCCACCAAAGAGACCCTGGACTGCAGGGCAAATGATACATGTTCAGGATTCCTTCCCAGGGACCTTACTGTCTTGACTTCTCTGCCCTCTTTCTCTCTAAATCTGAATAGTCCTACTTTGTCTAGAGAAATAGAGAGGTTCATAATTTTTTATCTAATCTTCCAAATCTTTATTTATGCTTACAGTTTGAGATTTGGGATTTGAAAACTAAAATTAGGACCCCTCTGTTATCTATTGCTGCCTAGTGTGTGGACAACAGAGAAAATTCCTGGCATATATAAAGCACAAAGATGGACCAGCATACAGCAGACAGCAAAAAGGGTGATGACTCCTATCTGTATGCAAGGCAGTTTAGAGAAGCAATTAAGAATGCAGGCTCTAGTTTTTTCTTTTCCTTTGTTTTACATCTTTATATTCCACATATGAATGTAATCATCCAATATTTGTCATTCTACTTTACTTAGTATAATCCCCTCCAACTTATTCATGTTGTCACAAATGGCAATGTCTCATCCTTTTTAATGGCTGACTAGTATTCCATTGTGTGTATATACCATGTCCTCTTAATCCACTCACCTGTCACTGGAGATTTAGATTGTTTCCCAAACTTGGCTGTTGTAAAAAATACTTCCATGGACACAGGAGTACATATTTCCCTTTGAATTAATGTTTTTGTGTTCTTCCAGTAGGTAACTAGGAGTGAAATTATTGGGTCATATGGTAGATTAATTTTTAATATTTTAAGAAACTTCCATATTGTTCTATGTAAGGATTGTATCACTCTACTGTCCTACCAGTAGTAGAGAAGGTTTCATCCTTTTTTCTCCACCCCCTAACCATCACTTGTTGTCTGGTATACCATCACTGGTATTTTTGAATGGGCCATTCTCATGCGTGTGAGGTGGTAGCTCACTGTAGTTTTGATTATTATTTCCTTGATGATAAGTGTTGATTGGGTGGGGGTCCAATGGACTATGGTGTAGGATTATGCTCTTTGGTGTAGGGTTTGGTATGGTAACATACATCTGGAGAAGTGTGAACCTACATCCTTAAATCATATATAGTATTGAAACTGGCATTACCCCAATAATAAATAATATAATTTTAAAATAGGGCCTCCCCTGGTGGCGCAGCAGTTGAGCACTGGGGCTGCGAAGCTGCCTGCAGCCTCTGCAGAGACGGTTCCATCCCCGGCCACTGGCAAGGGTCCCACATGGTACGCAGATCTCTCCTGCAGCACCCGCTGCTCCCCTCAGCAGTGTATTTCATCGGTCTGTCTGTTCTGTTACCTGCTCTGGCTCTGGTGAATTCTCTCACCCTCCTGCGCTTCTGACTGTACCCAGTGCTTGTATAAATGAATAAATAAATCTTTAATATATATATAATTTTAAAAATAATATGATTTTTTTGTTTTTTTTTTTTAAAGATTTGTTTGTGCATACAAGAACTGGGGTACAGGCCAGAGGTGAGGGGGGTGAGAGCATTCACCAGAGACAGAGTGGGGAGAAGAACAGGCAGATTGACTGAAATACACTGCTGAGGGGTGAGTCTGGTGAGTCAGGAGAGGTCTGCAGCACCATGTGGGTAGCTCCCTATCAGGGGATCAAACTTGTGCTGCAGTGGCTGCAGACAGCCTCAAAGGTTGGGTCCTAACCCCTGGTGCCACCGGGAGGCCCTAAAAATTAATTTTTTAACAAAAGAACGCATGCTCTATAGCCAAGCTACACATGTTGAAAGTCTGACTCCATGATTTCCTGACTCTGTGTCCTCAGATAAATTTCCCAACTTTACATGGCTACCTACATCATGCCCCATTTACAAAATGAGATCATAATGATACCTATCTTCCAAGGTCAGAGGTATATAAAGTGATCAGTGAATTAACTATGCTTTTATAGTTGTTGTTGTTACCATTATTAGAAGCTGTGCTCCTTAAAATCATTAACCCAGAGTCCTTGGTGACCATGAATGTGTTGATGCTATTGACACACACAGTAAATCACACTTAGAGAAGAAGGCAAAATAACACATTTTCACAGGAAAACAGGGAGCTACTGCTCCCTGTTGTAAGGCTAGACTGAGTTGTATGGAAATGCAATCTTCTGGGTAAAATCTGGATAGGAATGGTGTTAAGGACTATTTTAAGAAGGAATCAGCTAGTTTCAATTTAGAGATTCTGTGGTGTTAGCATAGAGAGGCAGATTCTTGAAGAGCAAGAGCTGGAATTGGAAGACAGAAGAGCAAGAAAGGGAGAATGAGAAACAATGTTAGAGAAAGGCTGGCAAGTCAGGGTGAAGAAATGCCTGGTTGACCACCACTGGCTGTTGTTGGAGAACAGAAAATACACTGGGCCTCTCCTGAAATTTGAGTTGGGCTTTTGTGAGCAGGGACAAGACAGGGAACTGAGGAAAGACAATAAGAATCCCCACACAATATAATCTTATTTTCTTGTGCATCAAACTAATGAGCATGAGAACTAGAATGTAGAGACCTTGACCCCTACGCATGCCCAGCCCTCTGTCCCAGAGCCAGTCTGGGCAACGTCACTCACAATCCACACTCAGCCAGGACAAACAAGTCTGCAGAGACAGAGGAAAGAGTTTATGTCAGGAGTCGGGAGACCTGGCCTGATACCAAGTTGTATGACCAACTAGCCTGTGGCCCTGGACATACTACTTCTTCACCTTCCTGGACCAAAGGCCCTCCATGAGATGAAACCAAATAAAAGCAGCTTTGTTTGGGTAAAGCAGTGTGTCACAGTTAGGAGTCTGGGTTTGGGAGCCAAAGGGATGTCAGTGTAAATTCTGTCTTTACATTTGCTATATTAAACATACGGCAAGTAATTTACTTAATCTCTCTAAGCTCCACTTTCCTCATGTATAAAGTTGAGGATAATAATAGTACACTTCTCATATGATTCTAAAGATTAAATTCAAGTGTGTGTGGAGTGTTCAACACAGTAGTACTGGAACACTGTAAGTACTTGATCAATTGTCAACATCTCCATTGTCATGATTCAGTGGAACTCTGGGGCGCCATCAGGTGAGGGGGCTGCTAAGTATGGTGAGTGGGAGAATTCAGGATTATGGAACCCACTTCATCCAGAGCATCTTTGTTTTTCTGTTTTAGGTACCTTTTTTTTAATTTTTTTTTAATTTTTATTTTTTTTAAATAATAAATTTTATTTTTATATTCCCCATACAATTGCAACCCCCCCATTCTGACCCCAATCCCTCCCCTCCCGCCCCCCACCCCCAAAAAGTGTCTCTGGTTCATAGTTTTTTGTTGATTTTGATTTTCACTTTCTTATAGTTATTCATTTTCCTGGTCCCTTATTTAAGTTTTCTAGATTCCTGCTATGAGTGAGACCATCTGGTATTTTTCTTTTTCTTTCTGGCTTATATCGCTGAGCATGATCCCTTCCAGCACCATCCATGTTGCTGCAAATTGCATGTGTTTATCTTTTTTGAATGCTGAGTAATATTCCATGGTGTATATGTACCACATCTTCTTGATCCAGTCATCTATTTTTGGGCATTTGAGCTGTTTCCAAAGCTTAACTATTGTAAATAGAGCTGCTATAAACATGGGGTGCAGGCTACATGCAAAAGAATGAAGCTTGACCACTACCTCACACCATACACAAAAATCAACTCAAAATGGATTAAAGAACTAGGTACCTTTTTTAAATAAAATAAAGTCTACACTTAATAATATGAATAATAAATAATAATATATAAATCACGGAACTAGACCAAGAGTTGACAAACTTTTTCTGTAAAGAGCCAGATAGTAAGTGTTTTAGCCTTGTGGGCCACACATGGTCTCCTTTGCATATCTTTGGGTTTTATTAGCATGAGGGTTAGGATTGGAGTCAGTATTAGATTTAGATAGACAATAAAAGTATTTGTGAGGACTCATCTGTGTATAACTAACATTTCAGTGGCTGGACACAATGAAGATTTATTTCTCATGTCACGGTAAAATGTGAGTTGGGGATTATGGGGTACTACATCTCATAGTCTTTTGGGGACCTAGTGATTTCTCCATCCCCAAAGGCTCTGAAGACCTTCTCTGGATGGTAGCAAATGACAAGTGGCCTACATGTAAGAACCCTACATTCTTAGCTGGGGCATGGATGGGGGTGTCTGAGCAATGATATACCACAGGCTGATTTTGGCCTATGGGCCATAGTTTGCTCACTCCTGGATTAGACCATCACTCTGTCCCTTCTGAAGATAAATAAAACTTCTCTCTGATAAACCTTATTTTTCTCCATCAAAGTAATTTAATCTATAAGATCCCATACTATTTTTCATCAGATAATCTTTTCCATATTTGTCACAGTTAATCAGATTAAATATTTTAATATTAATATTAACTGTGTAGTGTTACACAGAGTTCTTTTCTGGATAATTTTAATCAAGATGGCGTATTAGTTCCCTAAGGCTGCCATAACAAAGTACCACAAACTGGGTGGCTTCAAAGAACAGGAATTTATTCTCTCATAGTTTGGAGGCCAGAAGTACGAAATCAGAATGTTGGCAGGGTTGATTCCTTCTGAGGGCTCTGAAGGAGAATCTGATCCATGCCTCTCTCCTAGCTTCTGGTGACAGCCAGCAAACCTTGGTGTTCCTGCACTTGTTAAGTCCAATCTCTGCCTCCATCTTCACAAGGCGTTCTCTCTGTGTCTTCACAAGGCCATCTTCTTACTGGATTAGGGCCCATCATAAGATCTCATCTTAATTTGATTAAATCTGCAAAGACCCTTTTTCCAAATAAGGTCATGTTCACAGGTACTGAGGGTTAGGACATCAACATTTACTTTGGGGAGACACAAGTCATGGGGAAAAGCACATGGTTGCCTATACATACCTAAGAACTGTGGGATGTAGCAAGTGATGAGGACTGGCAGGACTGCTCCTAGCTGCCACAGGATGAATAAGATAGATGAGGAGGTGCTGCCTGCAGATTTTAATTTTTACCCTTCATTGTAAATTTCAAAAAGAATAGTACTAGTATAGCTGCTACCTTGAAGAATGTAGAATTTTCCTTTTTTAAAATAAAAAGTGTTTTTTTTTAATAGGCATGGAACAATGAACTAGAAAAATGTTGTACATTCTGTACCCTTCTTCTATTTTCAACTTATAAATGCTGTATTCAAAAAACTGGAACAGCGTGGCTTGTGGTTACAAACAAATTAAAAATAAAAAAGGCCCATAGCATCCATGTCACCCTGTGAGGGAAATTCAGCTGATGCCCTGGACAAGAAATGGACTTGCTGGTGAATTTTCACCTCTTTCTGTAGAGGCCAGGACTTGAAAATCACAACCAGCTGCTTGCGATTCTGTCCTATTTTGAAACAGATGACTGAGGCTGCTAAGTCACCACTGCAGCTAAGATTTATTTTCCCCTCTGTTGTCTAAGTTAAAGAAACCCAATTTGCAAAGCAGAGCAAAGAGGCACGATATTTTACTAGTGACCTCACTCCACCTCTGCCAGTGGAAAACCTACTGATATCCCACAACTGGTCCATAAGAATCACCTGTGCCTTTTCATCTCTGATATTCCAAAGCAGGACTGACATCTCTCTTTCAAAGTTTCATGGCAGTTTTTGCCTTCATACTTCCTCAATGGCACTTACTGCACTCCACCATATTAACAAGTCTGATCTTCTTCTGAAAGTGCAAGATCTTTGGAATCTTGATTTTAAGACTTTAGATGGAGAAACAAAGTGGAGAGAGGGCAACCTGAAATGTTAGAGAGGAAGGAGAGGCTTGGGAGTAAATTCTTTAGGAACCAGGAATGATAGGGTGAAGGGTAAAACTGGAATGGTCTCTGCCCTGTACAGGGACATCAAACTGTGGGGAATTTCATTTAAGTTTCCCTGGAAGCTATCCCCTTCTGTTTGGAGTGCAACATCAGACCTAGAATATAGGTGAATGTTCCCAAGGATAACCTTGCACAAAGCTCTCTGCATAAGCAATTCACTTAACTTCTCTCTGTGTTAGGTGCTCATCTGTGTGATGGGCTAAAGAATAGTATTGATTTCATGAAATTACTACAGCCCATCAAATATGACCATGGATGAAAAGCACTTAGCCAGCCTAGCACTGTGTTCCCCAAACTTCCCAAATTTATTTCCTGGAAATTTAGATAGTGTAGAGTTGAATTGGAACCCAGGAATATGCATATTTACCAAGTACACAGAAATTCTTATTTTCCAGGAAAATTTGGGAAGCAAATGCTGTAGCAGTACTAATAGCTCAATAAAGATTATCTATTTTTATTATACTATTTTCATCTTCATTATTATCATCATCATGGGAATTCTTTCTTGAACAACTTTTAGTTTGAGAAGAACATAGATCACTTGGACCCACATTCAAGACACAATCCACAATTGTAAGGGCCTTGCAGTTAACACCCTTCATTGTGAGAGAGTCACCTAGTCATGTGCCAGAAAAGGAGAAACAGCTTTGTGCATATCTAGCCAGTCTCTGTAATAGGGACTGAGTACTTATCCACAAAACCAAGTGACTAAGCTAGCCCAAGCCACTTACCCCAGGGAGTCATGGAAAGTAGGGGCCCACAAAGGGAGAATAAAGGGGATGAAAACTAATTCTCACAAATACTGGACTTCTAGTTCTCAATAAAAATCTCCTGATTCAGGTCAGTGTCCTGGGATCCCAATCATTAGATCAGTATTCCATCTTAGAAGACAAGTAGCAGAATTAGAAGGTTGTGGGTATGGCACACCTAAGATTCTGTCTTCAAGTATGGTCAATGTTTGGGTTCCCTCAAAATCTGTCTTTCTTTCTATTGTTAATTCAACCTCCCATAGAATATCAGGCACAAGAAGCAAAACATACCACCCATGGCATATTTCCCATATGGTAAAAAAATGGGTAGATGGTGGTGCCTCGTTAGTGATATCTAACATATCCATCCTTACTTCCTTTACTTGGCCTCAAGGACTAGTGTAAGCACCTACCAAGTGTTAACCTATTTGTTTTCTCTAACAACCTGTGAAGCAGGTTTTATTATCATTCCCCACATTTTCCAACTTTGGGAACTAAAACACAAAAAAGTTAGGTAACTTGTCCAAGGTCACACAACCAAAACTGGGGCCAATATTCCAACCCAAAAAGAACAAGGTCCAAACCACTACATTCAATAGCTTTGGTGCCAAAAGCTGAACATCCCCTAAGAAGTGAGAAACAAAGATAAGGATGATTTCGCACTCAATTATTGTTTTTTCTATTAAAAATAGAACTTTTAAGTTTACTTAAACAGCAAAACATAACACTACTGTTACCATGGCATTACATTTTAAAAGATTTAGAGCAAGAAACAAACAAAAATTCCTAGATACAAGAAAGCACCTTTTCCATTAATCATAACCAGAAATCTTAACCCTTTCCTTCTGTACTCTATGCTGATTAAAGAATCTTTTACTTATTCACTGATGGTACATTTTATTCATTGTTGCTCTTTAGACTTTTCCTTATTTCATGAAACCTTATATTATTACAATTCTGAATATCTCAGAAAAGTATTTGCCTCCATTATTCCCGCCTACTATAAATATCCTTATAATATGGAATACTGTCTATAAAATTTTTCTTCCTCAAAAAAAAAATGGTCAGGGCACATTTGTATGCCTTATATATTCTCATTATGTTCCTTTCCATTCAGAATAATTCTCTCCAACTGGTCAGTTTTTACTTTCATTATGTCTCTATGTCATTGAGATGTAAAGCTTTTATGCTTCATATTTGCTACTTTCTACTGTACTGGTCAGGACCTAAGTATGATGACTTCACTTATCATATTTAAGTGAGTTGCTGCTAAGTAGTATATTGTTGGGCCACTTTTAAATACATTCTGACCATCTCCACCATTTAGTTGCAGTGCTTAGGTTATTTAAATTTTATGTAATTACTTGTTTGACTTTAGGTCTATTATTTTATATCTGTTTTCTGTTTAGTCCAATGTTTTTTGTGTATTTTCTGTCTTCCTTTGGGTTATTATTTAACATTGTTTAGCATTTCATCTTATCTATTGTGGTTTTCACTGTGTCTCGCCACTCTCTCTTTAGCTGCATATATGCACATATATATATTTGCATATAATGATTTTTATATATAATTTATTATGTTTATTTTTTCTCTGTCAGGTTTTACAGCAAAATATAAAACTTTGCCACCTCATGGGTCCCTTTATATTGTAATTATATATTTTATTTGTATACATTGCATACTCATCAGATAATAGTATCCATTTTGCTTTTAGCCCTCAAATGTATTCTAAACAACTCAAGGTGATATTACCCTTCCTTTGTTCCTGATGTACCAAAATTTCTTCCAAGTACCCCTTCCCTTTAGTCAGAATTTACTTCATACAACAATTCTTTTAGAGCAGATCCAACAATTAACCTTTTTAGCTTTCTTCTCTTAAGAATGCCTTTGTTTCACCTTAACTCCTGATGAATTTTTTTTCTCTTATAGGATTCTTGGATGACAGGTCTTCATTTTCAACACTATAACTTTTTAAAATGTCTTCTGACCTCCATTCTTTCTGATGAGATACATACACTCATTTGAATCATCGCTACTCTATAAGTTATATGTCATTTTCCTCTAACCGCTTTTAACATTGCCTTCTTTAAAGTTTTCAGATTTTTGTGATACATCTGGATATGGCCTTCTTAGATTTATCCTATTCGGGCTTCTCTGAGATCCTAAAATCTCTCCAGATTTATACCTTTCTCCAAATTCAGGGAGCTGTTGACTATTCAGGGAGCTGTTGACTTCAAATTTTTTCCTTATAAATTCCTCCAAATTTTTAAAATTATGCTCTTTCTCCTTTCCCTCTAGTATGCCATGAATATCAGACCGTTTGTTACTGTCCCACAGGTCCTAAGATTTCATTCTCTTTTTACCCATTTTTTTCTCTCTTGGTCACATTTGATGGTTTCTGTTGATTAAGCTCTTTTTCTCTCTGTATAGAGATATCCATGTATTACATGCAAGTCTGGTCAGAAACTCAACTGATAAACAAGTTAATTATAAAATTTACATAAAATGTAAAGGTGAAGGAATGAGAATAAAAACACAGTGTTGGAAAGGGAAACTAAAGGTGGAGAGACCACAATATCTGATTTCAAAACTCTCAGTATATATCTACAGTAATCAAATCTGTAGTATTGGAGAAGAGATAGAAATAGTGATCAATGCAATAAAATAGAATGTTAGAAAGAGAGGCATACAGATATGGGCAGTTGATTTTTGACAAATATTGGAGGTAACTCAGCAGAGAAAGGATGGTTTTTCCAACTAGCAGCATTGAATCAGGTCAGCAGCTCTCACAAACACATTCATGGATGTTGAGCCAATTTCAACGTTTATTTTTCAGGGTGCAGGATATTATCACTCTGCTTTCTGCATAGGTTTTATAAATTTGGACCTTGTAACTATAACAATTTGCCAGACAGAGCATTCAACTTCATATAGGAGAATTTTTGTTTCCAAGCCTTCTCTGCCTCACTTTCCAAGCCAGTGAGCACAGCCTTTATGGAAAGAATACTCCTAGGGACCCTCACTTTATTCAGGGTCCATTTCTACCTGGTTTGCCTCCTAAGTGGAAAAATAAAAATTGTGCCTCCTTTCCCACTTCCTTATTAGGTCCCCAGACCCCTGGCCACTAAGGCCTGTAACTGAACCTGAGCTTTCTAGTACTCTCACCAATTGGATTTAGAATTTAGTTTTTTTGAGTTTTGGTACCTAGAGATTTTCTTTCTTTCTTATGAATTTTTTTATAATAAATCTTTAAAAAAAAGAAATATTTTTCTAGTTTATGCAGCACTCTTATTGTTTAAAAGAAGGGCCTTCAGATCTGCTTCAACCATGTAAGTCAATAGACGCGCCATTGTTCCCCAGATAAGGTTTCAGCATCACATTTCTGATACTTCGCTGCTCAGATTCGTTGGTGAGTCTGTCTCCTTCCCAAGCTTCTCTAGGATTGATACAAGGGCTTATTTATCTTTGAGCCTATTACAGGAGCCTATTACAACACATGGCAGATGCTCATTAATTTGTTGAATGACTTAGAGAGTATCTCTATGGGCTGACCTTATGTGTGTTTTTTTGTTTAGTTTTGTTTTTTTGGTGGCAGGAAAAAAAGGATGTTACTATTTGTTTAATATGATATAGAGTCAGATCAGTGAACTCAGTTTTGAGATACATACAACTCATATCTAACCATATTACTTATTAAGTATAACAGCTTAAAGAATTGCAAAAAAACAAATAATAAATCCTCTAAACACTCCATCATCTTAAATTGATTTTTGCAGTCAGCCACACCTCCTCAGCTGATTCTAAAATAATTCTCGAAATGTCACAGTATCCTGGCATTTAACAATAACACAAATGTGCCCCAGTCAGGAGCAGCTGTTTGTTTTTACAGAAACAGAATCATTACTTTTTACTGAAGACAAAGCTCTCCATAGGGGTTCAGGGGTTTTATATGGCTATTTTCGGAATTTCTCAAAGCTCATTTTTGAAATTTTAGCAAGACCTCATCCACCCCCTCATTGGCCTGAATATCCCCTTGAGGTTACTGCTCACTAACTCTGACCTCAGACAGACACACAAATACACAGACAGACAGAGAGGCCTTGCCGACCAGGGAGCTTGCTTCCTTTCACTTGCTTTGTCTGCCAATAGTAGAGGTCTCCTGGACAGGT